TTTTTTTTTTTTTTTTTTTTTTTTTTTTTTTACTTTTTAGATTATAAAAAAAAAATTAAGACACAGCTGTACAGTATTACACTAGTCAGAAAAAAATTTTATTTAAAAATGCTAGTTAATTTCAATAATAATACTCTAACAAAACAGACACTAAATTCTATGCTATTTTTTTACGTTTTTAAAAGTGCTAAACAATAATGAAATCAGTCTACCTTAGTAATTTGATACCGTTTTGTTAAAATAAGTGGTTAACGTTGTTGTCCAGTAAAACCGACGAATAAAATTGGTGCAGCATGTTAAACTGATATCTCAAATTTATTTTAAGTGGAAAAAAATACAACAATAAAATAAGCGTAAAACATCTTTAGAAGAAAATAATACAGCGTAGTGAAGCCATAAAAAAAAAACCAAAGACAACAGACATATAATTTCAAGAAAAAAATTTGTATTTTCCTATTTTTTTTTCTAGTAGTCAGGATTATTCTAGATTCTCTTGAGAATTCTACGTGTAGCTTGTTTTGAAATCAAAATTTTGGACCAGTGATAATACAGTGTTATGGGAAGGTATAGCTGCTTAGGAGTACATTACATCGATGACTCTATGTAGAAATGAAACAAATGCAAGGGCAAAAGCGTGGGGCGGTGAGGGCAGAGGTTAACATGTGTTATTGTACTGTTTCAACAGGAATCCACATCAATATGTTTGTGTTTGAAGAAGTAAAAAATGAGAAAAAAAAAAAGTTCAAGTTCAACAAAATTGTTTAAGGTGTCCCACATCTCGACGAGGTTCATCGTGTGAATCTGATGCACAGTTTATTGCTGAACGAAAGTTTAACAAAACAGCATTTTCGATGCTCGCAACACTTTTTGTTTTATGCAGCTCTGCTGCTATCATCGCTCTTCTATTAGCTGTAAGTTTTATTTTTTATTTTCTTTTTATTTCACTTTTTTTTTCCCTTTAAGAAAACAAATTACAAAAAAATTTCTTTTTTTTGACAACATAATGCACTCTTAAGTAAGCGTATTTGTAAAGAATAGGTTAATTTTGTAGCTGCTTAACCGGGTTGATGATCAGTATTTTCGTTTGCTGTAAGCAGCAGTTTGTTGACATTTTGTCTGAAACTCCTTTGTTCATCATCGTTAACGTCTTCTTCTTCGTTTTCTTCTTCCTCTTTGTTTTATATGTTGCTCAGGTTCTGTTTTCGTGAGCATCAGATTTGTTTCCTGTTCACATACACTTTTTTTTTTTTT